AAATTTGGGGGACCCCAAAGCCAGTCAGACAATTAGAGCCTCCTGGGGCCCCCATGCCCCACAGCTAGCTCCTACACAGATAGCAGCAGCAGCACAGAAGCCAGTAAACAGAGCTGTAAACAGGGGAGTTTGAGTGGGAGTCCTGTTGGAGGAGAAGTTTGTATTTGGTTTTGTATTTGTATTGTTTGTAGGGGCAGTGTGCTGGGAGAGAAGCTGAGCCCTGATTAGGGGGTGGGGCTTTGCTGATTAGGGGTCCTATAAAGGTAGCCACCCAGTCAGGCAGCAGCATAGAAGCCAGCAAACAGAGCTGTAAACGGGAGTTTGAGTGGGAGTTTGGATTGTGGGACTCGTTTAGGGTTTGTTTTTGCCGTGGGGGGGGGCTGTTTTGGTTTGTTTTTCTTTTTCTGTTTGCTGGACTAACAGGATTTTGGTGAGAAGGTTGATAAACAGAGGCAGCAGTGGCCATGACCCAAGCAGTGGAGGACACAAGGAGACTGAGTGGATGTGGCAGCTGTGGTATGTACATGATTCTGGAGAGGATACCTGAAAGGAGTTTCGTTTGCATGAAGTGCCGTCTGATAGAGCTGATGGAGGAAAAGATCCAGGATTGGAGATGCAGGTGGAAACTCTGGTCGAGTTTAGAAGGGTGTTCAAGCAGATGATGGAGCAAACGCATGAGGTGGCTGAAGGGGAAAGCTTAGACATGCAGACCGAAGCAGGATCAAAGGCCTGTGAGGGGGGACTGCTGGGTGAAGAAAATGGACAGTGGAAGCATGTGACTATGAGAACCAGTCAGAGGAAAAGATGGGCCAGTGAAGGAGAAATAGAGCTCAAGAACAGGTATGGAGAGTTGGAGAATTAAGAAAGGATACAACAGGTGGCCACTGAAGGTGGAACGGCAAGGAAGAAGAGAAGAGTGGCTAGTCCTATACATAAAGAGGAAGAGTTGATGGAGACAACACCAAAAATGAGCACCAGGAAGATACAGGATGGGTTGAAGAAGATTACAAGGAAAGATAGGAATGGAAAGGACTTACAGCCAGAGGAAAAAAGGGATAAACTGGAGAATTGCACTGTTACCAGGAAAAGGCAGATCTACGTGATTGGGGACTCCTTATTGAGAAGAATAGACAGGCCTGTAACCAGAGCTGATCCAGAGAATAGAAGGGTGTGCTGTCTGCCAGGTGCTAAGCTACAGGATGTGGAACTGAGGTTGAAGAGGATCCTAAAGGGAGCGGGAAGGAATCCATTGATCATCCTTCATGTAGGAACAAATGATACAGCTAGATTCTCGCTGGAACGAATTAAGGGAGACTATGTTGGGCTGGGGAAGACGCTTAAGGAAATTGAGGCTCAGGTGATCTTCAGTGGGATTCTGCCTGTTCCTAGAGAAGGGCAACTAAGGTGTAACAGGATTATGATGCTCAATAGATGGTTTAGGCAGTGGTGCTATAAGGAGGGCTTTGGGATGTATGGTCACTAGGAGGCATTCACGGACAGAGGACTGTTCTCTAGGGATGGACTTCACCTAAGTAGGGAGAGAATAGACTTCTAGGATGGAGGCTGGCTCAACTGATTGAGAGCTTTAAACTAGGAATTTGGGAGAGACGGTTGGGAGATGTCCAGGTAATCTCTACTCCGGATTTTAGCATTGAGAGGGAGGAAAACGATGTAAGAAAGGAGATAGCCGGGGGTAGGATAATGGACATAAGGAGGCAAAGTGGATACTAGTCTAATAAGTCATATAGGAGGTACAATGTTCATGCCAATGGGATAAACAATGTGAATAAGGCCAAACAGCAAAAGTTAAGATGTTTGTACACCAATGCGAGAAGCCTAGGTAACAAGATGGAGGAACTAGAGCTACTGGTCCAGGAAGTGAAACCAGATATTATAGGAATAACAGAAACTTGGTGGAATACTAGGCATGACTGGAGTACAGGTATTGAAGGGTATGTGCTGTTTAGGAAAGACAGAAATAAAGGTGGTGGAGTCGCATTGTATATCAGTGATGAGATAGATTGCAAAGAATTAAAAAGTGATGGAATGGAGAAGACAAAGTCTGTCTGGGCAAAAATCACATTGGGGAAGAAAACTATTAGATCCTCCCCTGGGATAGTGCTTGGGGTGTGCTATAAACCACCGGGATCTAATTTGAATATGGACAGAGACCTCTTTAATGTTTTTAAAGTAGTAAATACTAATGGAAACTGCATAATCATGGGAAACTTCAACTTTCCAGATAGACTACAGAACAAATACTGGTAATAATAATAGGGCTCAGATTTTCCTAGATGCAATAGATGATGAATTCCTTCATCAAGTAGTTGCTGAACCAACAAGGGGGGATGCCATTTTAGATTTGGTTTTGGTGAGTAGTGAGGACCTCATAGGAGAAATGGTGGTAGTGGACCAACCTTGGTTCAAGTGATAATGAGCTAATTCAGGATTAACAAAAATAAATCTGAGACTAGGGTTTTTTATTTCAAAAGGGCTAACTTTAACAAATTAAGGAAATTAGTTAGGGAAGTGGACTGAACTAAAGAATTTATGGAACTCAAAGTGGATGAGGCCTGGGATTATTTTAGGTTAAAGTTGCAGAAGTTTTCAGAAGCCTGTATCCCAAGAAAGGGGGGAAAATTTATAGGCAGGTGTTTTAGACCAAGTTGGATGAGCAAGCATCTCAGGGAGGTGATTAAGAAAAAGCAGAAAGCATATAAGGAGTGGAAGATGGGAGGGACCAGCAAAGAAAGCTACCTTATTGAGGTTAGAGCATGTAGGGACAAAGTGAGAAAGGCTAAAAGTCATGTAGAGTTGGACAGTATTACCAATTGCGAGGTAGAAGCCAAACTCGAACAGCTTAATGGGAGTAAATCAGGGGGCCCAGATAATCTTCATCCAAGGATATTAAAGGAACTGGCACATGAAATTGCAAGTCCATTAGCAAAAATGTTTAATGACTCTCTAAACTCAGGGGCTGCGTCTAGATTGGCGTGATTTTCCGGAAATGCTTTTAATGGAAAAGTTTTCTGTTAAAAGCATTTTTGGAACAGAGCGTCTAGATTGGCACAGACACTTTTCCGCAAAAGCACTTTTTGCGGGAAAGCGTCCGTGCCAATTTAGACGTGCTTTTCTGCAAAAAAAGCCCCAATCGCCATTTTCGTGATCTGGGCTTTTTTGCAGAAAACAAATCTGAGCTGTCTACACTGGCCCTTTTGTGCAAAAGCTTTGCGCAAAAGGGACTTTTGCCTGAACGGGAGCAGAATAGCATTTCTGCAAGAAGCACTTGACTTTAGCAAGGCTTTTGATACGGTCTCCCACAATATTCTTGCCAGTAAGTTAAGGGAATGTGGATTAGATAAATGGACGGTAAGATGGATAGAAATATGGCTAGAAGGCCAGGACCAGTGGGTCGTGATCAACGGCTCGACGTCAGAATGGCAGTCGGTTTCTAGCCGAGTACCCCAAGGTTCGGTACTAGGACCGGTTTTGTTCAATATCTTTATTAATGACCTGGATGAGGGGATGGATTGCGCCCTCAGCAAGTTTGCGGATGACACTAAGCTGGGGGGAGAGGTAGATACGCTTAAGGGCAGAGATAGGGTCCAGAGTAACTTAGACAACTTGGAGGATTGGGCCACAAGAAATCTGATGAGGTTCAACAAGGACAAGTGCAGAGTCCTGCACTTGGGATGGAAGAATCCCAAGCATTGTTACAGGCTGGGGACCAACCAGCTAAGTAGTAGTTCTGCAGAAAAGGACCTGGGGGTTACAGTGGATGAGAAGCTAGATATGAGTCAACAGTGTGCCCTTGTAG